AGCAATTCAGAAATAAAAAAATATTCAAAGAATGAAAAGAAGAGCAAAGTAGTTAAAACTAAGGAGAATAAACAAACAGGGCACTAAGATTCACTTTTATATTTTGGTATCACTTAAGGACATTACATTTATTCAGTCACCCAAACTGTAATGTTGAGAGTCATTCTTGGTTACTCCTTGTCTTCCTTGCTTCTTAAGCCAACTTTTTAATACTTCATCAAATCTGTCTTATATAGCGGTCTGGTTTTCAGTGGCCTGGTCTCCACTTATCCTTCCAGCTTCTGCTCCTGCTAGTCTCTCTTCTAGTGTTGACTCCAGTGCCAAGTACTTTGTACCCCTAAGCAACCATGCTGCCTCACTATTTCTGCTATATCCTTTCAGGCTACCACGTCAGAAATGGAAATATCTGGTGTCATGGCACTAGGTCTGGCTATTCATCCTTACCTTAGAGACAAACAGAATTAACTCATTTTCTGGCCCATCTTTCTGTTTACCAGCCTCACCCCTGTGAATACAGTTTTGTTTGTAACATAGTCTACTGAAGTGCTTAATTTTCCTTTGGCCTCTTAAAACTCTTCCATTGGGCCTCTGAGACTTTCACTCTAGGACCAAACTCTTTTTATTTTCAAAGATTTTCTGTCACCTCACTCATCTCTTCTGAGGGCTGAGAGCTAAGCCTCCCATTCTTTGCCTCTTTTCTTGCTTTCAAAAGCCCATGGCAATTTCTGAGACCTGACACTGGACCTACACACATCCATTTCTGTGTTATCATCTTATAATTGACCCATTCTCATTCATTTGTGAATTTATGGCTAAAGTGTTATAACTTCCAGAAAAAAAGCGCAGGTACATGGAAAGGAATTGCAATGTTACAGTGGCTCTGTACATGGCAGATGGGTGGGGTGGGGGAGAGTGTAGCTGGATGATGCTTGGTCTGATTTTTGAGAGTGAGTGCTAAAGGAAAAACCTATGTATCACCACTGTTCTAGTTCGTTTCTCCAATGCTGTGACAAAATGCTCTGACCAATACCAACTTGGGGAGGAAAGGATTTATTTTATCTTACATCTCCTGGGTCACAGCTCATCACTGAGAGAGCCCAAAGTAGGAAATCAGGGCAGGAACCTGGAGGCAGGAGCTGAAGCATAGGTCATGGAGGAATGCTGCTTACTGGCTTGTTCCCCTGGCCCATGCTCAGCTTGCTTTCTTATGTAATACAGAACAACCTGCCCAGGGGTAACACCATCCACAATGGGATGGGACCTCCCAAATTCCTCAAAAGCCAAGAAACTACCCCAAAGACATAGCCAAAGGCCAGTCCAATGGAGGAAATTCCCCAAATGAGGCTCCCCTTACCCAGATGTGTCAGGCTGACAACTAAAGCTATCCAGCACAACTGGCTCCTTATCAACATGACACATAAACACATCACTATTAAGCCACAACCTTTCCATTTCTTGTCCCCAAGATATGCTAACAATATCGTAAGACAGTAAAACCTTAAAAGTCCCATAGTCCTTAAAAAATCCAAACACTTAAAGATCCATAGTCTCTTTTAAAAGTCTCTTAACTGTGGGCTCCAATAATATCCAAAACAAGTACTGTCTTATTTCAAAAGGTAGGAATGGGACACACCTAAGCAAATAAAAGTCCAGCAAAGTAGCTCAAAGCTGGACATCTGGGATTCACTCATGATCTTCTGGGCTCTAAACGGTTTTGGCAGCTCCACTTCTCTGACTCTGCTGTCCACAGCACATACAGCTCATCATGCAGGCCCATGCCAACTCCATTCTACACCTGCTGCTTCCCTTGGTGGTCATCCCATGGTGCTGCTATCTCCAAAAAGCTGTGTTCTACTGAAACTGAGGCTGTGCCTTCTGGCTTCTCTGGGTGCAAAGCCTCAGATTCTCTTCATGACCCCTTTAATCCTGGGGATCTTTACTACAACTGAGGCTGCACTTTCATTAATGGCCTTTCCTAGTCTTTTGGGGTACCAGGCCCCAGTTGCTTTCTGTGAAACCTTCATGTTTTCAATAGCAAAACCATTCAGGAGACTCTTACACATTACAAAGTCCTGCTTCCAGCTTGTGATGGAGGCTCAGGACCCCCTCTGGACCATAGCTTCTGTGTGTTGACCCTGAGGAAATACTTTCCAGATTTTGCTACAAAGGTGCCGGTCTCTTGTTACTCACAGCTGATTTTTCAGCCCCAGCTAGCCAGCATCAATTGCCCCAGGAAAGGTTTCACTTCAGTGGTTCTGGTTTCTTCTTACTCACAGCTGATTCTTCAGCCTCAGCCAACCAGAAACCAGAGATTCTCAGTTCAAGATATCACATAAGCAGCCCTGATAGTTTGTGTGATATTCCCTTTTAAACTTCACTAGCCAGGCCTCCACCTCTAAGCGTAACTATTCTGAGCTCCACAGCAACAAACTCTAAGCACTCAATGGCTTTTCTATCCCAAATTTCCAAACGTTTCCACAATCTTCCCCAAATCAACTGGGTCAAGTCTGTCATGGCAATACCCCACTCCTGGTACCAATTTATTTTCCTAGTTTGTTTCTCCATTGCTGTGACAAAATACTCTGACCAATACCAATTTGGAAGAGGAAAGGATTTATTTATCTTACATCTCCTGGGCCACAGTTCATCACTGAGGGAGCCCAAGGTAGGAACTCAGGGCAGGAATCTGGAGGCAGGAGCTGGACCACAGGCCATGGAGGGATGCTGCTTACTGGCTTGCTCCCCTGGCCCATATTCAGCCTGCTTTCTTATATAATACAGAGTAACCTGCCCAGGGGTCTGTTATGCAAAGTGGAAGCCCCTTCACACCGGACAGCTCATGCAGCTCGGGATCATGTGCTGCGGGCTCCTTTCGTAAGCAGGGTGTCTTCCTGGCATCTTTCCTGTCTCTCCTTTTGAAGTGTCGGCCACAAATGCCATAACATAAACATGGCCTTTGTCTCTGAAAGATACCATGCCTTCCTGTGATTTTTCCTAGCAGACAGCAGGCTGGCAGAAACCCACTTCCATATGTAAATAGAATGCCTCACAAAGCATCTAACAGCCAAAGCTTTTACCACTACCCCAACGGTATAAATGTCTTAGTTTTCTCTTAATAGTCAGAGAATTGGGCTGCAGAGAGCTGGGTCGCAGAAAGCTGGGACACAGAGAGTTGGGTCTCAGAGAATAAAGCTGTAACACAGACTAAGCCAAGTCTTGAGTCTTGTGTCACTACTGGCGGCCCAATCTCTCCGGGGGGCGCACTCCCTCGTTACCGACTCGTGGACATCCTAGCTTTCGCTGTCCTCATACTTCTTCCCGCGAGGCCCAAGTGGCCAGTGGACCTCGCATCCTGAGGAAGAGTACACGGGTGGATTAGGGACAGGATTCGGCAAAACAACGCTTCTGCAGCAGAGAAGCTCCAGAGACACGGGACCCGAGCCGCCGGGAAAAGCCTGCAGGGCACCCACCACCGCAGCCAGAGACGCCTGTGGCCAGACCCGCCAGCGACTAGCCAGGTGCGGCGGGGGAGTGCCATTCAGGGGAGTGCGCCCAGAGAGAGCACGCACGCCCCATAGGGGTACACCACCCACAGTGGGGTGGACCATCCCAAATCCCTCAAAAAATCAAGAAAATCCTTCACCAACACAGCCACAGGCCAAGTCCAATGGAGGCATTTCCCCAACTGAGGCTCCCTCTACACAGGTGTGTCAAGTTGACAATTACAGCTATCCAGCACATCCACTTTCCACAATGCCTGGTGTCTACAGTATTCATTTGACTAATATCTGGTTCAGATTTTTCAGGTTTCTCCTGCCAGTTCCAGGCTTAGGCAATTCACTCTAGCTTTCTGTTCTCAGGTTTGCTCACTGGTCTGTATTTGTCACCACCAAGGACTCAGTGCCAACTTCAAACATTTGCCCTTCATTCACCAATATCCCTCATGTTTCTGGATGATGGAAATCTTGATGTCCACTCATCCCACCTTACAGCTTTCTAGTTTCCATTATTTGCTCAAAACTTCCTTCATTCACTACTAGCTCTCAAATACAGACACTGCCAACTCTTGCCTTACATTTTCCATTACACTTACTCTCTATGAACCATGTCACCTGCCTTCTCTGGCCTGCCGAATCTTGTTAGAAAACAGGTTTTGTTGTTAAGCTGAAGAGTGGCCTTTTGAATTTCCAAGTGGAGACTATCAATGGGCAACCAGTCTACCCTTGGTAGGCTCACTTTTCTCTGTTTAGCTAAAAGTATTTTATACTTAGTCCTCTTTCTTGAGTCACACATATTTCCTTTTTTTCATTTCACTTTCAGCCAACACTGAACTTAAAACTCCCTCATTTCTGACTACTCACACCCCTAAAACAATAAACCCCACCAACTTACTTACCCATATTTGCACCTGTCTTTTCTTTTCCCCTCTGGTGAGATGAGAGGGCATTGCCCTTACCCTGACTAATGCCATAACTTTCATTTGTACTGAGGTTTCCATATCTTGCTTTTTCAAACACACTGACTTCTTTTTACTCTGATGACATCTATGTCACACTTCTGTTTACTCATCATGTCCAACCACCGGATTTCATGGCAATCTCAGACTCTCACTGTAGGTAATGCTCCTCTTGTCTCCCTTTCCAGGATAACCTCTTCGTCACCTTTCAGGCAAGTATCAGTCCCCCAATACAGGTCTTTCCAATAAAACTGGTTCCAAATCTCACTCCATTGCCAACAGTCTCCATTTCATCTTCCTGGTGGCTTTCTTATTCCACCCATAGCAATACGAATTCTTAAGTATTTTCTTCTACACAATATAATCTTCATGAGTCCAGGGTTTATTTTGTTCACTTAATGTTTTTCTCCATAGTCCAGCGCGATACTTTGCTCTAAAATACGCTTATTGGTCAAGTAAATGCTAATGATTTTTTTTTCTTTTTTAGAATACTGATTTTATATCACTTATATAGCTATGAGAAACAACCAAGAAACCCACTTACATGTCCACATGCACGGCAGTGATGCCGCCTTCTGGTCAGTGCATTGAAGGGCTCTTTGCACTTCATACACATCGTCACTTCATTGTCTCGTATCCATCTTGGGGCTCTTTTTCCCAGCTCAGCAGTCTAAAAGGAAAAGAGACATTGAATTCTAAAAGAAAAAAATTATAATTTCCCTTTATTATTCCTTTTTAAAAGCACTTTAGCAATATCATTCAAACCATGTCTGACACTCAAGATTCAGGAAGGGAAGAAAATTCCAAAGCACTTCAAGGAACTTGGTATTATATCTATCTAAGAGGGAATGATATTCTTCCTAACTAGTCATTTCTGGTAGTGCAAGGGAAAAGATTAACTAATAATATGATTAGCTAAGACTTTTGACACTACAAAGAGATAAAAAATCTTAAGCTTAAGAACTTACAGAAACCTCTAGATGAATGTCATTATCCTTTGCAATTGCATTTCTGAAGGTTTCATGCCTTTGATGAAAAACATCAATAGTCTCCTGAAGGGCCTAAAATATAAATGAAATCCAAAGCATACATGAAAGTATCACATACACATCCATAAATATATTTTTTTAAATAAATATATGAGAATCATCTTTAAAATTAAATAAACTTGGGGCTGGAGAGTTGGTGCAGTGGTTAAGAGCATTGGCTGCTCTTGCAGAGGACTCAGGTTTGGTTCCAGTACCTATATGGCATCTAACAACCACCTATAACTTCATTTCCAAGAGATGCGATACCCTCTTCTGACATCTGAAGGCACTGCACAACACAGGTGTGCTTACATACATGTAGGCAGTACACGCATACACATCAAATAAAAAAATAATTTAAAAATTAAATGAACTTGTTCTTAGACTATGTTTTAAAAATTAAAAATAGAGGACTGGAGAGATGGCTTTGGCAGTTAGGAGTACTGGCTGCTCTTGCAGAAGACCCAGGTTCAAATCCCAGCACCCACATGGCAGTTAACAACTGTCCCTAACTCCAGTTCCAGGGGGATTTGACAGCCTCTTCTGTCCTCTGCAGGCATTGCATGACACGGGTGCACTTACCTACATGCAGGCAATACACACATACACATAAAATAAAAATAATAAAATATAAAAAAATAAAAATAGAATGTGCACATTTCTTCTCTTCTTTTTTGGTCTTTCTGAGACAGGGTCTTCCTATATCCCCATTTGGCCTGGAATTCGCTATGTAGACCAGGCTGGCCTTGAACTCACAGAGATCTGCCTGCATCTGCCTCCTAAGTGCTAGGATTAAAGGCATGCACCACCATGCCTGGCTGAATGTGTACATTTCTTATACACGAAAATGAAAACAGAGGTCAGCCTTACCTTGATCCATTCTTCTTTGTCTTGCTCAGAACTAAAATAAAGATAAAATGAGTGTAGAAAACACTAAGAATTACACCTGGTGAATAAAAGTATACATTAATGCTATTCCAGCTTCCTGGAAAATATAAGAATGCCTTGGAAGGAATTACTTTAATAATTAAACAGACTCTATGGCAATTGAACAAACAAATTATTAACACAGTATCAGACCGTCTACTAAATTTGGTACCCATACATTGCCTCAGAGTAAGGCTGATATTCATTAGTACTGCTACAACATCAACAACTACTGTTTAGCTGACACATCTGATTCTGTAAGCCTAACATACTAGACATTCAAAGATATTTTAATTTAATAAAACATATGACAGAGGTTTAATTAAAGGCTACTAGTCACGACTCACATTGGAAAAGATTATGATTATTCCCGTAAACTTAAAATTATTTGTTTTTTTATTTATTTTGACAGGGTCTCTCTGTAGCCACAGCTTGCCGGGAACTCACTATGCAGTCCAGGTTAGCCTCTACCTTACAGAGATCTGCCTGTTTCTGCCTCCCAAGTGCTGGGATTAAAGGTGTATGCCAACACATCAAGCCTAAAAATTATTTTTGAAAGGTCTTGGGGAACTACTTAACATTTCCATTGATAGGCAATTTTGTTTTCCTTTTCCTAAGAGACTCAGGAAATAGCATAGCTAACCCATAACAGATGAAGCAAACATTAAACATTTTTTTATGTGTATGAGTGTATTGCCTGCATATGTGTAAGTGCATGCGTGTCATGCAATGCCCAATGGAGGTCAGGTTGTTAGACTCCACGTGGGTGCTGGGAATCAAACATGGGAACATGCAACAGCAGTCAGTGCTCTTAACTGCTGAGTCATCTCTCCAGCCCCACATTGACCATTTAAAATCTTGCAGAAAGGAGGTTTCATGGACTCATGGACCATAAGGTTTAGTAATTTTTCTTTGGGAAAAAATTGCTTGACTGTAGCCAAGTTCCCTTTGGCCCGTGAAGAAAAAACTTCATTTTCTTTCTCATGTAGTAAGCTTACATCATACTTGAAACACTCTGTGAGTGGAGTCTGAACTGGATCAGATCTTTTAAAAAATTTCATACATTAGTACTATATTTACATTTCCACCCTTCCCTCCTTCCTCTAACCTGTCTCATCTCTCATTTCCTCTTGATTTCATGACCTCTTCTTTGACTATTATTGTTGGATATATATATAATCTGCTGAGCCCACTTGGCGGTGCTCTTAGGTACATGTGCTTATGGTTGACCACATGGGATTAGATCAGGGAATTTATCCCTGGAGAAATCTGGTTCTTTCTACCTCAGCAGTCTGGGCCTATCACTCTTCGTCTAGAGGTGGGACCTTGTTAAATTTCCTCTGCCCACCAATTTAAAAAATATTTCTGTGAAAGGAAGAGTTGGTGTTTGCTAATTTGCAAGTCTGGATTTTATTCAAGTCAACCTGGTACAGTTTAAAAACAATTGGCTTTAAAATTCACAATGATTCTCTAAATATTGAAAAGCAATGTCTGTATTATAAACAGTAATTATTTAAAAATAAATCTTTCAGAGTCATGCTGAATGTTCTCAAACCCAACAAAATCTACTTGAAATAATTCTGTAATTCTAAAAATTTGATCCTAAAGCTTTGCATTTTATAAAGAGAAAGAAAAAAGGAGAGAAAGTCTCCTATTGAAGGAATTTGTTGAGCATTCTTGAATGTGAAGACAAAATTGAAAGGCTAGCTACATAAAACCACCACTGCCTGTGAGGTTACAGAAAGATCGTAGGAAGAGCACACAGCTTTCTCCATTTAGTATGATGGGGACTGTGGGCTTGTGGTATATTGTCTTTATCATTTTGAGATATGTTTCCATATGCCTAGTATCTCTATGACTTTTATCATGAATGGATTGATGTTCGATTTTGTCAAAGTCCTTTTCTGTATCTAATGAGGAGATCATGTGGTTTCTGTCCTTGAATGTGTTAATGTGGTGGATTACATTTATTGATTTACGTATGCTAAACCATCCCTGCATCTCTGGGATGAAGCCAACTTAATCATGGTGGATAATCCTTTCTATGTGTCCTTGCATTCAAGTATTTTACTGAGAAGTTTTGCATTTATGTTTATCAGACATTGGTCTATAATTTTACTTTTTGTTCTGTCTTTGCTGGTTTTGTTATTAGAGTAACACTGGCTTCATAGAAGGAATTTGGGAGTGTTACTTCATAATTATTATTAAAACACTAAAGTAAAATATTCCTGTTTCATAGAACAATCTGAGGAGTATTGGTATTAGTTCCTGCATTGAAGGTTTGGCAGAATTTTGTGCTGTATCCATCTAGTCCTGGGCTCTTCTTAAATGGGAGATTTTAAATTACTCTCTTTCATTGATTATTATGGGTCTGTTTAGATTATTTGTCGTTTTAAGTTGTTTTTTTTGTAGGCCATACATATGTTGAAAGTTATTACTTTCTTTTAGATTTTCTAGTTTAGTGGAATATAGATTTTTAAAGTATTCCCTTACGGTTTTCTGAATTTCCTCTGGGTCTGTTGTAATGTTCCCCTTTCTCCTCTGGGTTTGTTTATTTGGGTCCTCTCTGTGCTGGATAGTACCTCTACACCTGGGTAGAGGTACTCTTATTTGAGGAACTGTCTCCATTGGATTTGCCTGTGGTCATGTCTATGGGACATTTTCTTGATTGTTGAGTGAAATGGGAGGGTCCAGTCCACCATGGGCTATGCTACCCCTGGGCAGGTGGTCCTGTGCTGTATAAGAATGTGGGCTGAGCACAGTCCACAGGAGCAAGCCAGGTAGCTGCATTCCTCTATGGTCTGTGCTCCAGGTTCCTGCCCTGAATTCCTGCCTTGGATTCCCTTGATGATGAACTGTGCTGTAAGCCAAATAAAGCCTTTCCTCCTTTCTAAAGTTGGTTTTGATCAGTGTTTCTAATCATAGCACTAGAAGGTAACTAGAACACTCTCTTTCTTTTGATTAATTTACCTAAGGTTTGTCAATCTTGTTAATCTGTTTAAAGAACCAACTCTTCATTTCTTGGATTCTCTGTATTGCTTTCTTTGTTTCTATTTCATTAATTTCAGTCTTGATTTTACTTATCTCTTCCTGTCTACTCTTCTTAGGTGTTGTTTGGTCTTGGTTTTTCAAGGGTTTCAGATGCATCATTAATTTACTTAAATGTGATGTTTCTATTAATGCTATAAATTTTCCTCTTAGGACTCCCTTTATTGTGTCTTAAAGGTTTTGGTATGTTGTGTTTTCATTTTCATTCAAGTCTATGAAATTTTTGATATCCTTTTTAATTTCTCCTGTGATTCAAGTTTTGTTCAGTAATATGTTGTTTAGCTTCCATGAATTTTTGTGCTTCTCCCATTTTTATTGTTGATATCGATGTCAAGCTTTATTCCTTTGTGGTCAGATAGCATTCCCCTTAAAATCAGGAAGAAGACAAGGATGTCTACTCTGTTCATTCCTGCTCTATATAGCACTTGAAATCTTAGCTGGGGCAATAACACAAAAGGAAAAGATAAAGGGGATACAAATTGGAAAGGGAAGAAGTCAAAGTATCTTTATTTGCAGATACATACAGGATCCTAAAGACCCCACCAGAAAACCCCTAGAAATGATACACACTCAGCAAAGTAGCAGGATATAAAATTAACACCCTGAAATCAGTACCCTTCCTATACAACACCAACAAGCATACTGAAAAAGAAATCTGGGAAATGATCCCATTCACAATAACCTCAAAATTCATACATTGTCTTGGAATAAAGCTAACCAAGGAAGTGAAGGACTGGTACAATAAAAGCTTTAAGACACTGGAGAAAAAAATTGAAGAAGATATCAGAAGATGGAAAGACCTCCCATGCTCATGGGTCAGTAGAATTAATATGTGAAAATGGTCATCCTACCAAAAGCAATCTACAAATTCAGTGCAATGCATACTAGAATTACAACACAATTCTTCACAGAAATTGAAAAAATAAAACTCAAGTTACATATGGAAACACAAAAAACCCAAGACAGCCAATATAATTCTGAACAATAAAAGAACTGTTGGAGGTATTACCATCTCTGATCTCAAGATATACTACAGAGCTACAGTAATAAAAACGGGATGATACTGGTACAAAAACAGACACATTGATCACTGGACTAGAAGTGAGGACCCAGATTTAAATCCACACATTCACAGCCACCTGATTTTTGAGAAAGGAGCTGAAAATACACACTGGAGAACAGACAGCATGTTCAACAAATGGTGTTGGTCAACCAGGATAAGGGCATGTAAAAGAATGAAGCTAGACCCCTATCTCTCACCATGTACAAAACTCAACTCCAAATGGGTCAAGGACATCAACATAAAACCTGATACTCTGAATCAGACAGAGGAGAAAGTAAGGAATACATTGGGACTTATAGGCACAGGAAAGGACTTTTTGAACAGAACTTCTAGAGTGTAAGCATTAAGTCCAACAATTGACAAATGGGATTACACATGAAACTAAAAAACTTCTGTATGTCAAAGGACACCATCATTTGAGTAAGGAAGCAACCTACAGAATGGGAGAACATCTTTACCACCTACACTTCTGACAGAGGGTTAAGTATCTAGAATATACAAAGGAAAAAAAAAAAAACAATTAAAGAGTGGGGGCAAGGAGCTGAACAGGGGATTCTCTAAAGATGAAACACAAATGGTTGAGAAATACTTAAAAAATGTCCAACACCATTCTGTAGAGAACAGGGGTGACATAGCAGGCATAAAATCCACTGTACTGGCATTCAGACTGAACCTCAGCTCTCACCTTCTCCTCCAGAGGAGGACCGCAGACCTGAGCTTAGCCATGCCTTGCACCCCGTGCCTGCTGCAGCGTGCCCTGACCTGTTCAATGCATGCACAGCTTAAGAAGTGGTGAGCAGGAGAGCCCTGCCTTTTTTTAAAATAAGCCATTGTGTGCCAAAGCTGATTGCATAACAAATGTCATAAACCCCTTCCCGACCTGCTGGGCACACTGGAGAGTGAAGCATGGTGGGAATTTGCAAATCAGTTCAAATATCTTTTCTGCCTTCAGGAACTCTTGTTAAAAATAATATACTAAGTCATTCAAAAAAGATCTGACAAGACTTCAAAAGGTAAAAAAAATGTTCAACATCTTTAGTCATTAGGGAAATGCGGATTAAAACCACTTTCATTTTACCCCTCTCAGAATAGCAAAGATCAAAAAAAAAAAACAAAAAAACTGACAAATGCTGGCAAGCATGTCGAGAAAGGTGAACTCTTACCCACTGCTGGTGCTAGTGAATGCTGGGCAGCCACTAAAGCAATCAGAGTGGAGAGTCCTCAAAAAGTTTGAAATTGATTTATCATATGAACCAGCCATGCCACGCTTGGGCATATACCCAAAAGACTATACCCTGCTACAGAAATACCTGTTCATCCAGGTTCACTGCTGTCCATTTCATATTAGCCAGAAACTGGAAACAATACAGATGCCCATCAACTGATGATGATAATGAAGGCATGGGACCATATACACAACGGATGGAAGTGGAAACAATCATCCTGAGTGAGGCAACCCAGACCCAGAAACATGAACATTGTATGCTCTCTCTCATAGCTGGATGCTAGCTTTGAAATCTTAGATAAACATGTTGTAATCTGAAATTTTAGAGGTAGTCAGGAGACTAATACATGGCCATGAAGGGGTGGGAGGAAGGCTTCCTGGGTGGGGTTGTAGAATTCAGTGATACCAAGGGGAAAGGAGAATACTACAGTAGGGAGGGTTAGATGGGGTGAGGGCTAGGAGAGCAGAACAGAAGAGGGAGTATGGGGAGGAATAACTAAGACAAAAGGCCTTTAGAACAGGCATATGGAAACCTACCACTGTAGAGGCATCTTTAAGTATATACATGTACATCAGAAAGAGATGAAAAGGAGTTATTCTCTAACACAGACATTTCCCTTTGTAGACATCATAGGGTAATCAAAAAAAAACCCTTCAATGTCAGGAATGGACTCCCTTTCTAGAAGCTGTTGACTAGGGGGTCCTATAGACCCTCAAACAAGAGTAGTCATTGCCCATGTTCTTGGTTACCCACAAGAACTGGATGGTTAGACCCTATTGCTGTAGACACTACATATATGAGCTGTAGAACAAACAAGAAGAAATCAAGCTGGTGCTGACTTCAGAGTTTCATCTCCACTGGCTACTGTTCATAGTGCTGGAGGGGCTATACAAGCTACCAGAAGGAAAAAGTAATCACCAACCTTACCCAGCTGTGAATTCTGTGAACTACAGTAACAACTGGCCTGGCAAGATATGCCCACTGGTGCAACTGTGGCACAAATATTATGGGAGTAACCAATCACTCTTTAATTAGATTTCAGGTCCACTTCTGAGAATTGGAGCCCATACCTGACATTGGTATCAGGCTTAGGAGCCTGACACCAGACAGACAGACAGGTCACAAGACATAGGGGAGAACCTAATACTAGTTTTCAACTAAGTAGTTATCGTAATAAACTGATTCTTAATGACTTATTGTCATAAGACCCATAGATTAATCATCTTTCAACTCTCACTAGAGAAGTTTCTTTATGCAACAGATGATTAACACAGAAACCTGCAGCTGGCCAACATGCAGAAAAGCAGAGGCTGCAGAGAGCTTATCCCAAATAGCAAGCTTCTGCCCCCTAAGGTTCAAGGATCATTGTGGAAGAGGTGGGGGGAAAGATGGCAGGAGCCAGAAGTGGTGGATAACCACAAGGAAACAGAGTCTTCCAGAAAGCTGGTCAGTTATTCATAGAACTCACAGCAATGGTGACAGCATGTGCATGTCCCATGCAGCTCAAACCAGAAAAATATCCCAGCACAAACATGAACAAGTGGGTTAAGAGGCTCCAATTAATCCCACCTAAGGAAGCTGTGTCAACAAATGGCTGATGGCAAGGAGCAGAGACAGGCTCTTTTGGGCATGGTACTCTTAGTAGGTTAACCAGGCTCCAGTGGGTGGACTCTCACTGAAGGACTCTATAGGCCATATATGGAGAGCTAGAGATAGAAATGAGAGAGTGAGGGGGGGGGAGGGAGGGAGAGAGAAATAGAGATAGGGAGAAAAGGAGTGAAAGGAGAATATTAAATTGGGCAGCTAAGGGGAGATGTGGATAGGGAAGGGGATCTCATGCCATCAAATTACACTGTATGAAAATGGCAAAAATTCAATTAAAAAATGGAAGACCACACAGCAAACAAGAATTGAATAAGACAGGAACAAACTCTCTCCACAACTTTGTCAACTGTTCTTACAACCCATGTGGGTTTTCTGAAGTTATACAAGTACTTGGAATAACTTTGAAGTAATTTGTTTTTCAGAGTTTAAAGGCTTCAGAGTTTAAATGAAGCTTCCTAAAACAAGAAGCTTGTAGTAATACTATGAATTGGATTTGTTCCATATTCACTTTAATAGAGGGACAAAAAAGAAATAAAAACTGTTTTTTTTTTTTTTTTTGCAGATTTTTTTTTATTGGGGTTTATATGGGTTGGGATGGTAACCTTAGGGGATGCCCCTCCCCCGAAGAAATGTCCATTCTAATCTTCCTGAGGTGTTTTCTGGAGTTTTCTCTTTTTCTTTGTGCCACTCTGGTTGCCAGAAGTAGCTTCAGGCCTACTGCTAGCTGGCTCCTCCTTAGAAGAAAATTTCCTTTTTTTCTTGGGGACACTGATGTTTGCTGCTTCTTCAGGGGCCATTTCCTCCATAGGTACAGAAGACACCCATAAAAATTCACATGCAGCAAAGACATGAAAATCTCAAACACATAGGAAAAAAATCTAAAAACAAATTTTATGTATGTCTAGGGCCTCATCAGAAATAAAGATGCTATACCACAGAAGGACAGCAGCATCACAACACACTATGATTAAAATCTGTTGCTGTGTATTAGTTCGCAATTCTGTTTTCTAGTTAATATGTAGGTGGTCTCCTATAAGTTGACAGTGCTGTTTGGAGGCTTAGAACAAAAGTAGCTCCAAAGATAATTTAAAATAATTTTTTTTTTACTATGCCCAGACTTTTCTCTTGCATCTTGCTTTTTGTTTTCTTTTAAATAATATATTTATAGCCATTCTTTTTAAAAAATATTTTATTTATTTATTTATTTTTTATGTGTATGAGTGTATTGCCTGCCTGTATGTGAGTGTACCCATGTTGTGCAATGCTGCAGAGGTCAGAAGAGGGCTTTGGATTCCTCTGGAACTGGAGTTAAGGATGGTTCGTAGCCTCCATGTGGGTGCTGGGAATTGAACCCCGGTCCTCTGCAAGAGCAGTCAGTGCTCTTAACCACTGAGCCATCTCTCCAACCCCTATAGCCTTTCTTTTACACTCTTGTCTGTAGGCTCTTCTATGCTGTTCTCACTGGCAGCTTTTACTAAAGGATTGGTGAATTTTGGAGGAGACAGGCCTTGTTTTATTGTGTTACTTTTATTTCTGTGTTTAGACTTATGCATATGGAGTTAATTGTCGCCTGAGTCTTATTTTGTTTTTTCAAAAATTCAAGCCACCATTCTTCTCTCAGTGTAGTTTGGTTCAGTCTTTCTCCCTTAGTGGTATGCTGCAGTTCCTCCCACTTCTGCGCTTGTCCTTTGTATTGGTTTGTATAGGTAGAGGAGACAAGTGGCAGGTTGGTAAGGATAGTCAAATTCAACCTGTGTCCTTTGTGTGCTGGCAGAATGCTAAGTTCCACAGCCCTAAGCTCCCTTCTAACTTGACTCTGCCCTACCTCTCTGGTCCTGGGGTACCCTGCTGGGTCATCTTCAAGCTGGTGTGTGTCTCCTGTAATGCCATGTGGTCCTGTAAATCCATTCCTGTATCACACTTGGGCCTTCAGTCACACAGTCATTGCATGGTGCCTGGGACTCTATGGGCTTGGGGGAACTCAAACTCTGCCTCACCCACTATGGGGTGTTGTAGGTCTGTGTGCACACAAACACTGCCCTAGGCCACTGAGCCACATGCCTTCTAAGCATATGCTTGTCCCCACATGGGGCCTGTCAAAAGCATGTTCTTTGTGAGAAATCAAAGAATTGAATTTTGAATCTTTCCTAGTCTGTCATATTTTTCATAATTCCTAATAAAATAATTTAATTCCTTTTTGAAAGTCTGAACAGTAAGCTGTGATGAATTCATCACAACCACATACCACTGGCAAAGGAACAGAATGCTTCATGCCTCTCCGTAGATTCAAGGTTACTGATGCCAGTAGAAGTAGGATTGATAACTAACACTAGTATCTTCTGGGGTTTTCACATTTTCACCATTATAGGTCTCTGGAATGCTAAGTAGATGACTGTTTTCTAAAGCAGATTATTTAAAAATGTGGCAACACAAGGTCTTCCAGAGGTTCATGTACAAGGTAGTCAGCTGTGGTCTGCAGTGGTTCTTTTTCATGTTCCACTTCCATCATGGTTATGCCTCATCAACCTCATCCTCCGAAAACCCTGTCATTTTACAGTCACCTGACTGAATGCTTACTATCTACAGATCTCTGTCTTAAGCAAGGAGGAATCAGTGACAAGACATGATGGTTATTTTTCAGGAAAACTCTGCTGTCCACTTACATTCAATCAGATTTCTAGAGGTTTGAGATGTTTACCTGTGAAAAAAACCGTCAGGACCATTAATGCCTCACTCTGATATTTTTGGAAAGTGTGGCAGGATTGGCTCTCTTACCTGGCCTGCAGTTCCAGTGTTCGTTCTTTCCCAGACACCTGGAAAGTATATGGATATTCTTCATTGTGAGTCTCTACAATTTTCATCCCATCAATGCCAACTCTGGTACGAACTGTGAATTTTGAGCCTACCAAGCTGAATCTGGGCACACAATACAGCAACATGTTGTTGAACTGCAAAGAGGAAAAATACAAATTAAAAACAAACAAACAAACATGAAAATAAGTAAAAACCAAGCAATGTTGAAAGTAGCTCTGGAGGGAAATGCTATTGAATTTTCAGAGTATATGATTCACTCTCTCTCTCTCTCTCTCTCTCTCTCTCTCTCTCTCTCTCTCCCTGAGGCCCCCCCCAACTCCTCTTTACAGTCTTGCTGTAACCAGGATAGGCCTTGAACTTGCGATTAATCCTCTTGCCTTATACACCAGAGTGCTGGGAATATAAACATGTACTACCACATTTGGATTTCTTCTTAGAATTAAATAGTTATTGAACAAATGGAAAATAAATGGTCTAAGGGGTGTTTTAATTGGAAGATGCAATAAACACCTTCAAATATTCAGAGGTTTGCTGTCACATACACAAAAATGAAAAGAGTCATTTAACATTCCTTCTTAAGGCAGAACTTATACCGAAGGGGTAAGAGAAGAACCACTAAGCTGCAGGAGCATCAAACAAAATGAGTCTCTTATCTGAATAGCTTCATTCTCCATAAAGTGCATTCCACACTTAACTTTTTCCTTCTTCTGAAATGATTCACTAGAACTTAATAGTTCCTATGAACATTTTAAGTTGCATTTTCATGGTATACCCTCTACTGCCAGGAATGGAAAAAATACATTTTTAACACAGGGTGCTTGGTACCACATCATAACTGTATAATAAGATCCCACTGCTGAAGATACCACCCATTCTGAATGCAGGACATAGAGAGATCAAACTGGAAATGAGCTGGAAGCATCCTTCCTGCTGGCTAGCTTCCACATTATTGTTATGCAGGCCGCTGAAGGAGAAAAGTCATCATGGTCTTACCCAGATGTGGACCTTGTGTGCTACAATACCAACCTTCCAGGCAAGTGGTGCAATAATCTGGCATAACTGTTATGGGGGTTATAACCAAGTGCTTTCTGATTAGATTTGAGGCCTTTTCCATAACAGAGAAAACATCAAAAGTCCATGATGACCATATGCTCTAGTGTGATACCACTGTTGATTTTCCAAATGGACATATTGTCAAACATTCTGTGTATGCCCATAGACAGATGCTATTTTCAACTTTTATCAGAGAAGGTTCTCTTTGCAGCAATGGTTGTGAATACAGAGTCTCATGGCTGCTGAAGGTGCTAAAAATAGTGACTGTTGAGTGTTTAGCCCTAAACAGGACAACTGTATAACCCTCTAGCCCCTAATGCTGAGGAAACATCATGAAAAAGGGGGAAGAAAAAGGTAGAAGCCACAGGACAGACAGAAGGGCTGTGAATAGTCTTCTAGACATGACCTGGCTGAAGGGCTCGTGAATAACAGCTGTGGTTATCTGCATAAAACCTGCACAAGATGGGGCTTGTCAAATATCCCACTATTGATGGGAGAAGGAAAGCCATTTTCTTCAATGGTATATCCCCTGACAAGTTGTCCCCGTGCCAGCAAATAACCCCCTATCCATGTTTATCTAACCCTAATTGAACTCAGTGGGTCAGAACAAAAGAAAAACGTGAAAGGAGGGAGACTTGCTAGAAAGAGAAGGGGTTCAGTTTAGTAGGAATGGGAAAGGAGAAGGTAATGGGGAAAGGACCTGACCAAAACACATGATGTATGAAACTGACAAAGAAAAAATTTTAAGGTAGTGTTAAGAAGTTTATTTGCTCACAAGCCAGTCTGTTTGCTCCTAAGCTATCATTCTGTGTTCTATATTAGTAATTCTTTGAGGTGAAGAAAAGACAGCATATTCTCCAAGGTGTTACAATCTCACAGGTCAGCACTACACTTGGGGACAGTCTTCTTCAAACCCTAGACATACCATATGAATACTAACCAGTAGTGAGGATGGGAATGTGATATGTGCTGTGGTCAACCCCTCTTCTACATGAAGCAGGGGAGCTCATGTCACTAAGAAATAAAAACTAATTCCATAACACTGATGGCTACAGACCAAAGTGTTTAGTAGTACAAAAAGAGAATTGTTTTGATAACTATTCAGCATAATATTTAAGGACATAATTTTAGTATATCCTATATGAAATATAAACTTTATCACTCACTAAGGGATGCCGAATTGCTTACAGTAGCCAGTAAATTGGAAATACAAACTTTGCATTTATTTGTCAGTGAGTGTACAGGATTCTGAAGGTGGATCATGAACTCAGAATGGTACATCAATTTTCAAGGAAAACCACATGATCAGTCAGAAGGGCTAACTACTGATCACTGGGGATTGGCAGAATTTTGGGCAGGCTGCTAAAGAAAGCATCCAGGGCCCTTGTGACTGGCTTTCTGGGCAGAGCCATTATTGTGGTTGAGTGAGCTTGCATCCTTGCTTTAGTATACCTTTTATGGCCTCTTCTATACAAAGTCCAACAAAGGCTTTAAAAATTATTGGCAATTATTATGGTCTATGTGTGAGAGAGAAGGTGAATGAAGGTACATCTCCTGGTTGACTCTGGACAGTCTCTGACCATTGGTATGTATTGATGGTCATACAGATGCCGGGAATCTCTCCACTAGATTCACTGCTCTACTGACTAAATTCCCCCAAGTTCAGAACTTGCAAATTTTACAGCAGTTGCTCTCCTTCCCCAATGCTATCATGCTTTATTCATGTCATTATGGAGCAAAAGTAAAGCTAGAAGCTGATCATCTGCTGGTGATACAGTGATTCTTCTTAGAGCCTTGAGCTCCTGGTTCTTGCACTGATCCAGTAACTTTTTGAAACATAAAGCACTTTCCACCACCACTATCGCTGGCATTTTCATGGTTAATCTTTCTGCTGTAATTTTCAGACCACTGAAACCCAGAGTCTGTTTGCTTTTGTTTCTATTATGGTGCTGGAGCTCAGTAAGAGGTTAGCATTCTACCACCTAACACTGAACTAAAGTTCTTAATTTTGAAAGATATTTACCACTTCTACTCATTATGCCTTGGGCTACAAGATTCCAATAGCATTTAGAACAAAAGACTATTTTTTATTGGAGTGTCCAATGTTAAGTTTTAAAAATAGTCAATTCATTAATTTATGTTTCTTTAGTATAAATGAGATTAATATACAAAATCTCATATAAAAACCAAGTTGACCAGTTGTGGGTCTTTAATGACTCACCCTCTACTATTAAAAGGAGTTTCTCTGAGGAAGACTGAGAAATGTAGTAATCAATGGGGATAAAGACAGAACTAAGAGTCAGTTTATTACCATGTTCACTTAGCAGAATACTAGTACTAGGTTCTCAGACCTGTGACCTAGCCAGCTGTGGGCTTTTGGTTCATAGAATAGTACTAGGCACGAATTCCATTTTCAGAAAGTTCTGTCGAGCAGGCTTTAAATCCAACCAGAAAGTTTTTACTTCCAGAATACTTGTACCAGCAGACTGTCCACACCCATGAACACTAAATGTACAAAGCTGGTTTTAAAAAACGAGCACAGGAAGCTGGGAAGGAATGTGGTGGTGGGGGGGATAGGGGAGAAATTGGAGGGAAGGGGGTAGATTTATCAAAACACATTATATGCATGGGTGAAATTGTAAACCAATAAAAATATGAAAAATTCAAGTAAGGGCTCAAGACTGATGACCTGAATCCACCCAGAACACATATGGTAGAAGAACCAGTTCTAGCAAACTGTCCTCTGTCCTCCACATGTGTGCACATACATGCCCCAAGACCAATTAATTAATCAATGTAAAAATTCAAATAAGTATAAAAGCATAAGAAAAAAAAGCAAGTTTCATGACCAACATCACTGTTTTATAATTTGTCTCAGTATAATTTGTCACAGATTAGCAGTACCCATGGAAACAGTCTTCAGTATTCTTCAACAGTACAGTATTATGAATCCTTGGATCTTAAGAATGATCACACATTAACTGACTGGAAGTCATTAAGTTTATTAATGGTGTTCAAAACACTCTTTACAAGGTATACTTTTAAAATGGATCAAAATAGGAACCGTGCCTCATTTCTATCAATAATTTAATAGCCCTTGCTAACTAGGACCATGGAAAATATGTTAAAACTGATGGAACACAAATTCATCTTCAATGACTTTGTGAAAGCAGTTATTTTAATTTTGGCCATGTTAAAACATAAGAAATGGGTTAACGTCTGATCAAATTCACAAGAGCATTTTTTCTAAGACAAAAGTAATTCAGAACTAAAAATAGATTATTTTTTAATGCTATTTTTCCTTTGTAGTGTTAAACATACATCTGTTAACAAGTGGTTTAGTCTTACCAAACAATTTTTTTTTTAATGGGAGGAACCAAATCTTATCTAGGTTTGTAGCCATAGTTCATAGTCTCTGATGGACAAAGAAACATTAAAAGAAAAACATAAAGTCCTTTATAAAAAAGATTTACCTTTCTAACAGCATGTATTCTAAATTCCAACATATTTATTTTAGTTGCTTCATTAAATTTTTGCAGTACTGAGACTTCCTCCTGGTGCCTGGCCATCTCAGCTCTCAGGCTTCTCCCCACCCCAGATCTGTGCACTCATTCAGACTTACCCAGGTGAGTTCCCTCCACCAACTCAGCCCTCAGACCAGCTTGGGTCTCTGCTAACCTTCCCTGCCCCAGACTTGTGGTCCTGAGCTCCCATTCCTGAGACTTCCCTATACCCTGCCATCTCAGTTCTGTGTTGATAAAAATCAATATCATGAAATGGGGCCCCAAACCTGAAAAAATAAAATACCTAAACCTGATGAGAAGTCAAAAGTATAGAAAAGTATAAATAATTTTAATACCCCAAAACAACAGAGTTCCTGTGAGCTCCCCCAGTGTAACCTTTCAGCCAACTTGTTCAACTAGCAGTCCCCAGCCAACTCTGCTGATTCAGGACTGTGTGGCGTCAATCCTGGAATCTCAACTCAAAAGCTGTACCTATCACTAGTGAAAATTACACCACTTCTTTCACCATTTGCACATCAAAATAAAGTGGCCCCCAAACTGAACACCAAGCACGACTC